ATCGTCTTCATGATCCCCAGCAGGTCTTCCTGGCATTAACATCTGCCCTTGTCCTCAGCTGTAAGTTCAACTATGGTTGTGGATTTTAATTTCCCATAATGCTGCCCTGGGGCACTGTGGGAAATTGAAATAATCAATTGCTGCTAGGAAGTAGGCTGTGATGATAGAACCTTGCCAAGGTAACTTGAATCAGATGTGCAAGATAACTCAACCTGCTTCAAGGCCAGATCTGGAGCTCTGTGTGTTGTCCTGAGGATTGCTCGGACCAACAATTCCAAATTCTGGAGCATTGTCTGAGGACACTCAGAGCCCCACCCACCCATCCTTCAGTCTGGGAAGAACATAAATTAACAGCTACAACCTCTTCAGTGTTTTTCATCCGTGTGGTGTGAAATTTGCAGGAAGTATTGAAAATGATATGTGGAGGAAGTGTGTCAGATTTAAAAAGATTAGGGTGAGGAACATCCCTAATCTAAGATGAACACATGGATGTGAAGTAAGTCTGCGTACATTAGTTGTGCTCCCAATCCAAGTACTTTTTAAGTCTTGAGGAGGTCTGGGGGCACAATGTTTGTTGGAGTTTTTCTTGTTATTATTTGCTATTATTGTAGCCTTCAACTTCAGTGAGCCCAGTGGCAGTGGGACCTAAATTACTGGAATAACCTTCTGGACTGTCTTGAACTGATTGTTTTTCACTGCCTTGAATGTAAACTAATTGCTCCAACTCCAGTTTGGGTGGATCCCAGGACGATTCCCTTCCTCTACCCCAGGCAAAGGTTCCAGAGCCTCTGCAAATGCATTTCCTCCTCTTGACCATATTCTGAGCATGGCATTCTGTCTCAATTGTTTTAGTTGTCCTCCAGAAGCATTATGAATCCCCTTTTGATGCAGGATACTTTAGGGGGGACCAGCCAGCAAAGAGGTTTTGAGATGCTGGATAATCCCTCCCCCCAAAACACTTTCTATGTGTAGGGGGTGAAGTCCAACAATGGATCATGTCTTATTTCAAGTTTCCTTCCCCCAACAGCTCTTTCCTAGAAACATGTGCTCTTTCATACTTTCTCCTTTCGCTTTCCTTATCTGCTTCGACTTCTGTTCACTACTCTTTCTGAATCTTTCCTGGTTCCTTTGTGATGTTTTCTTCCTGTATGGCTTTGTCTTCTTCTTCTCCAAACAAGCTTATTAGAGGTTTAAACTCAGCAAAGGAGAGAAAAGGTCTTTCCTCTTTAGAGATATGCTTCTCTCTCTTTTGGCTCAGAAGTTGCCACCATCTCTTCCACCCTCCTGTCTTCTCCTCTGTTCTTCAGAGACTTCTATTTTTTAACCTTCTTCCTACAACTGCTGGTGGTCTTAATTTCCCAGGAAAAGCCTTGTTTTGCATTACATCTGAAGGGGAAACTGAAAGCTTGAGAAGAACAAGTTCTCCAGGTGCAACTCACTTTCTTCTTTCTCCTTTTCTCTTTCCTTCTTTTCCAACCGTGTTTATGGCACACTTTTGCACTGAAGCTCTTTGGATACTCCAGATGTCCACTTGCAACTTTTTATTGAGGGAAACGGTTTTCTCTCTCTTTCTACATTTCCCAGCCACTTGGTGATTTCTCAGTAGAACAGCAGGCTAAAAATATTTAACAGGGGACCCAAATTGCAAGTCACATTTGAGAGTCTCAGCCTGTTGGGGGCTTATTAACCAGAACTCAGATACATAAAACTTTGAAGCCTGTCTCATCCCTTAGGGAGGTTGGTTCAGCAGAGTTTCTTTGGAGTTTCAAATGTCTTATTTTGATTATTACAGTGCACTGGGAAATGCCTCGTTATTGATTAATATATTGTTTTATAGCTGATAGTAGTCTATATTGTGTGCATATGTGTGTGTGTATGTGTGTATATACACACCCCTATACTGCGCTTAGTTAAAAGTGCCCACTATTAAGATTACAATTCTATTACAGGTAGTCCCCAGGTTAAGAACACCCAGTTTATGGATGACCCATAGTTAAGAACGGAGCCTCTTGTAGCAAAATTTGAGTTTAATACACAATGATTCGAGTTAAATACACAATGGTTTGAGTTCATTACACAATACTACTTACACATATTATACAATAATACTGTTCTGGCTTACGTACAAATTCGACTTATGGACAGACCTTGGGAACAGAACTCATTCTTAAACTGAGGACTACCTGTACACAAGGTTCGGTTCCCCCCCCCCGACCCCTCCATAGTCATTGCCACAGTTATATTTCAGTGTTTGGGATTCTTCTTGTTAGAAATCTCAGCGTTAAGGTTCATGGGACGGAAAGGTTTTCAGGGAAGTGCTGGCCTGTGTTCCTCCACTTGAAAGGATGCCCAGTGACGGGAGAGATCTCTGCACTAAAGGGTAACTGGCAAAGGAGACGAGGTTGGTGCTTGGTGACCTGGTGGAAGTCCTTTGGCCAAGGAGAAGCAAAGCCCACTGCCTACATTCCTAATTATGTATTTCAGTTGAGTGGAGAGCTGTAAAGTGGTGGGGAAAGTATTGGTTGGATGGAACCAGGATAAAATTAGACTTGCTCAAATCTAAATGTCTTTTTCCCCCTTTCCATCTCTTCTCCAAACTAGGATCGCTGCCTAAGTGGGTTGTGAATAAAGCTTCTCAGTACCTGGCACCAAAGGTGAGTAAGGCCTCACCTGCTTGGCTGAGCTGGTTCTCATCATGAGTCACAGTGGTTTTCCTGGAACTGTATTGATTTAAGTGAGACCGAGTGACAGAAAGGGGCAGGTTGTGTTTATCTCCCTGGGGCAAGGTTAGGCTTGAAAGATTGGCTGAGAACTGGATCAAAGGTAAGAGATGGAGACAACTTCGTGAAGGACCAGATTCAAATATTTCCTGCTGTGACTACAGAGGATGGATTTACAGTAGCTTTTCCACCCAACTTTTCAACCTTGGTCCTCTAAGCTGGGGTGTCTGGGCAGGGTGATAATCCAAATTCCCCTTCCAAGGTGGGATCTTGTAAGGATGATGACAAATTCAGATGCAATTCAGGTAAAAGCCATGGAGTGTTTTTTAAGGAGCCTAGTGGGATAAAAATATATTAAAATAATGCCCATGGATCACTTTAAAGTTCTAAAGGTTGATCAAAAGATTAGATATGATATTTAATGTTATTGATTCTGGGTTTAGTTCCATATTTAATCAAGGAGGATCAAGCAATCCTGTAAGAATTGTGCAGCTGGTTATATATTTTAGTGTGCTCTCTGCCCTTCCATCAAAAGAGTGTAAATTAGAAATATTAGTAATAAGGCACTCGCTCAGTCTTTACAGTCTAGAACAGTGATTCTCAAAGTGTGGCCTGGGGACCTTTGGGTCCCAGAGACCCTTTCAGGGGGTCCGCAAAGTCAAATAAATAAATACATTAACCTTTCTCAGTTTTAATTTTTAATACAGTACATATTGATAGATACAACCCACATAAACCAGAGTTCTTTGGGGTTCTCAATCATGTTTAAGAATGTAAAGGGGTCCTGAGACCAAAGTGTTTGGTCTAGAAGAGGCAGCACAAAAGGGAACAGCACTGGGAGGGAAGAAGGGGAAAGAACCCCTCAGGCCCTTGTGCTTAATTGCAAAGTTCATGGAAGTGTTATTTTTCCTAGGGAAGGGCAAAATAAGGACCTCACAATTCTTTCTTCTCTGCCCTATATTTAGGGTTTAAATGCCAGGGCCATAACTTCCCAGGAGCTTTCATTACTCCTAGACAGTGGCAGGAGACAGCTTGTCCAATCATCCAAATAAAGATAGTTGGTGGTTTGCTTGTTTTTTTAACTTTTGCAGAAGGTGTTATGGATGATAGAGACCCACATAGCATTGGTTTCCAGCAGTGGCCTAACTGAGGGCCAGTTTTAACTAAGGAATGGGAACGTTTTCTTTCTATGCTCTCCACCTCGCTGAGGGTCTGGAAAAGCAGAGGACCTTCTTTTTTTTTTTTTAATTTTATTATATGTCTTTATTATAAAATGCTATGTACAGGCTACATTAAGTACAACAAATAATATAGAAAATTAAGATCTACAAACATAAATCTGACAAGGACATATATCAGAAAGAAAGAAAAGAGAGGGAAGATGAGAAAAGGAAAAAAAGAGAGAAGGAAAAAAACAAAAAAAAACATTTAAAATGTGGTTTCCGACTATCAAACATTGTAAATACACCAGTAATTATATTACTTTTCATCTCTTATCTCTGTTTTATCTATTTTACTATTATTTCTATTAAAACAATTCTTTAATATACAAAACCAGCAATCGATACGTCATTTTTTCCCACTAACATCAGATAATCAAGAAATGGTTGCCATATCATCTTAAAGTCCGCCATATTTTTATCTTGCATCAAATCCATTAATTTGGCCATAAGTAGAGGACCTTCTTGTGAGACGTTTACCATTCTTTTCTGGTTGCACAAACTGCCTAATGTGGGCTGGGGACACATCAGTGCTCCAAAGCTGTAGAACTGAACTGGCGTTTGAGCATTTATATTCCCCAAATGTATCCGGTTAGTACCTGTTGCTATCACTGGAATATGCTTTATTTTACTTGACCCTTCCCTTCTCTTTACTACACTTTATTACCAACCCCAATTCCAAAAGATTCCAGACTGGATGTCATTTACAGTATATTTATGGTTCGTTTGTATTAATATGTTAATACAAACACGCTCCATTGGTAGGGCCTTTAAGAATGCTTTTCTTCGAGCTTGAGCTTATGTGTATATCTCATTGGAGTTTCAGTGCATAAGCCTTAACTTTTAAATAGCAGGTGGAGCTTGGTAGAGTTGTGGTGTTGTCTACATCAGTGTTCCTCAACCTTTGCAACTTTAAGATATGTGGACTTCAACTCCCAGAAGTCCCACTCCCCCCACTCTTATCGCGCCAAGTGGA